CAGGAGAGCATGAGGTGTGGCAATAGGAATTGCACCTGAGGAGAGTAAAAAAAAAAGTGGAAAGATAGATGAAATATTTTATTTTTTTGTCCGTTTGCTCTCTCTAGTGTTTCCATTAGTAGGTTTTGATTTTGAGTTTGTCTTCATGCCAAAGGCACAGAGGAGCCAGTTTTTTTGGTTTTTTTGTTTGTTTGTTTTTTTGGAGAGGTTTTTGCTATAGAGTGTGTGCACTCGGCCGACAGAGAGAGACAGACAGAAAGCAAGAAATCCCTCCCCAGGGGGGTTGGCCACGCCGCAGTCCCTTCTCCTTTCTCCTCTCGGGATCTTGGGCACGCATGCACACACGCCTGGCATGAGTTTTAAGCCACCGTGTTTGGGACCTGAACTGTGGTTGACTACATGGGAGTCCATTGACATAGCCATTACGTTAACTGCTGGTCCCGAGGAGCCAGTTTTTAATAGACAATTAAACGGATCTCACCTTACTGGATGTATGCAATAAAAAATAGTACAGAGAGATACATGCAGGTGGAGCCAGTCTGGACTTGACTGTGGTACTGTATTTGGTAGTTCTGTGCACTTTACTGCTTTGTGAGCATTGAGTACCAGGTGAATCTCTCAGAAGATACAAGGGAGATGCATCCTATCCCAGGGTCAAGATTATTCTTAGGGGGAAAGAATTTTACACATTCCATTTGGGAAATTCAGCCTCTTAAGAGTCCTGTTCATCAGTAATTTCATAGATAAGTAATTACCTGGTTTCCAATGTATTTTCCATCTAATAAAGAAATGTGGTGAATTTAAGTAAGATTATCAGAATAAAGATAATACCCTTTTTTCTTAACACAATGCTAGTTTTTTATTTTCACTTAAATAAAGCTATGTCAAAAAATTTTTTTTCTAAATCTAGATGAAAATGCATTTATAATTGTTAGAAGATAAAAGATAGTGGAAAGTGGTTAATTCAGGGTAAAGTCCACATTCTTAATTTTTTGTGTTGATTTCTGATATTTTTTAATATTAAAAATACGCAACAAACGGGACCAGCATTTGGTATAATGGCTATGTCACTGGACTCCCATGTAAGTCTACCATGGTTCGAGTCCCAGACCTGGTGACTTAAACTCATGCCAGGCGCGTGTGCGTGCGTGCCAAAGATCCCAAGAGGAGAATGGAGGAGAAGGGATTGTGACGTAGCAACCTCTGGGGGGTGATTTCTCACTTTCTGTCTGCTTAGTCTCTGTAAAATCGCAAATAATGTACTTTTCTGTAGAACAGAGTAATTTTGATTCTGTTAGACCTGTTTACAGTATATAAACAGAACTTTATGTCTTGTAACAGTATTGGATTAGCTATTGATGGTTTAAATTCTGTGTTATTGTATCAAGATATGTGTGAACAAGGTAGTTAGCAAGAATCTCTGATTCTGTGGCAGAATTATATTCTATTTTGTACTTTGATAGTAGCCTTTTCCCCAAAAAATAATATTGCTCAAGGCTTATGTTTTTAACATTTTTAAAAACTTACTTATTTTTATCAGTCATGCCTTCCCTTTGCATTTAGGTTCTGGTGTATCTGTATTACTAAAGCCTGGCATTCATTGCTGCTCTGTTTTGAAGACATTACAGTAAGTAAGCATATTTACTACTTGTCCCTCTTTGGAAACCTTTGCCAGTTCCTGGTTTAGAATTTTTTTTTGAAATTAACATCTCCCTTTACAGCATATTTGAAGTTATTTTATTTTATTTTAAAGTCACATAGTCTAAGGGATATGAAAAATCATTATCTTCAGTTTGTATCTGCTACTTGAATTTCCTTATTCTTTTTCAATGCAAAGTACAAATATACCATTAGTAATATACCAGTTTATTTGACCTTCTGTTAGTTGATATATTTTTATTCCTTTGCTTCAAATAATGTGTCATTTCACACACATACAAGAAGAGCTATAGGATAAATTTTTAGAAATAGAATTTTAGGGTCAGTGGTAATGGACATTTAAAATTTGATAGCTATTACCATATTGCCCCCATAGAGATTGTCTTCATTTACAACCCTACCAGCAATATGTAAAAATCTGTTTCCTTTTTACATTTTGTCAGTTCTTTTGATCTTTACAAATCTGATTGGTAAAAAATGGATGATTTTGTTTCAGTTTGCATTTTTTTTTTTCTGAATGAAATTGGGCATCCTTACAGATGTTGAAGAGCCATTTGTACTTCTTTTTTCCATTTGCTTTTGCCCATCTGATTAATTTCTGGTCTTTTTCTTGTTATATTATGGATGCTCTTTCTGTGTTACAAAAATTGGCCTTCTCTCTTTGGCATGATATATTCCTGTTTTGTAGCCGATTATAGCATTTTGTCAGAGACCATGGATATGTATCATAAAGGGGTTTTGTTGTGTACATGTTACTTGTGAATAGGGGACGATATTCTTGATATTTCCTTTATTCTGTGTCATTTGTCTTAAGTTAAACAGACCATTTACTCATTATTAAATAGTCTTGGCATTCAGGAACTCTTCCTATCAGTGGTGAAGTGGGAGTGGATCTGTCGAGTATGTTTTCCAGCATTTTTTTTTTTTTGAGAGGTTTTTGCTATAGGGCACGTGCGCTTGCCAGACAGACAGACAGAAAGCGAGAAATCACCCCCCAGGGGGGGATGGCCACACCGCAATTCCTTCTCCTCCATTCTCCTCTCGGGATCTTGGGCACGCATGCACACGCACGCACCCAGCATGAGTTTAAGCCACCGGATCCGGGATGCGAACCGTGGTCGACTACATGGGAGTCCAGAGACATAGCCATTACACTAACTGCTGGTCCCCATAATTTAGGAGCTTTTAGAAGTGAAGAATTTCAGACCAGCAGGTGGCATGGTGGTTAAAGTGTGGGATCCTACCTGGATGACAGTGGTCTGAGCCCAGGACCTGGCAGAATGAAGATTACGCCAGGACAGGTGCCCCAGATCTGAGAGGAGAAGGGCTTGCAGTTCGCCCCAGGGGGCAATTTCTCACTTTCCTTTTCTCTCTCTCTGCCTCTCTCTGGCTAATGTGTGTTCCCTGAGGCAAAAACAACAAAAACATTTAAAAAGAGAAAAGAAAAAAAAGGCTTACCTCTCAGTTTCTAGAGCTTTAAAAAAAAAAAAAGGAGAGAGAGAAAAAAGGAAACCATTTTTTAAAAAGAAGTGAAGAATCTCAAACTTGGGACTAGCAGTTAGCGTAATGGCTATGTCCCAGACCCGGTGGCTTAAAACTCACGCTGGGCACGTGTGGGTGCGCCAGCCCAAGATCTCAAGAGGAGAAAGGAGGAGAAGGGATTGTGGTGTGGCCATCCCCCCTGGGGGGGGGGTGATTTCTTGCTTTTTGTCTTTCTGTCTCTCTCTGTCTGGCGAGCACACATGCCCTATACCAAAAACCTCTTAAAAAAAAAAAGAATCTCAGACTTGTTGAATCAGAGTCTGCATTTTTTTTCCTTTTTCTTTTTTTTTTATGAGAGGTTTTTGCTGTAGGGCCTGTGTTCTTGCTAGGAAGACAGAGAAAGGCAGAGAGATAGAAAGTGAGAAATCACCCTGCAGGGGGGATGGCCATGCTGCAATCCCTTCTCCATTCTCCTATTGAGATCCTGGGCATGCACGCACATGCACCCAGCATGAGTTTAAGCCACCGGGTCTGGAACTCGAATTGCAGTCGACTACATGGGAGTCCAGCAACATAGCCATAAACGCCAACTGCTGGTCCCCACAATCTGCACTTTAACAAGATTCAACAAGGTTTCCAAGTTATTCATGTGTACAGTAAAGTTTGGGAGGTATTAGAAAAGCTCACCATGCTTAAAAGGCTTGAACTTCCCATGAAAAGTGTACAAATTACCATGTCTGGGACCGGGATGAGTAGTCCCTAATGACGTTGGTTCTAAGTTGACTTAATAAAAGTATCTGAGGTGAGGGTTTTGTGTGTGGAGGAACTGAAGCAAGGGGTCTTGGGATTTGGCTTTGTCACTGGAATATTTCATTTGCAGAGGGTGCTAGAGGATCTAGGGTTTATTAGGGTTAAAATAGAATTTCTAGGAAAGACAACAGGTTTAGAGACAGCTTCTAAAGAGGAGAGTAGAGAGAGCTAAGCACATTGTGAGGAGTTCAGTCCAGAGGATAGGGTTCAAGTCAAAATTTAAGGCTCAGTGGGAAATCAGAGTTTAACCCAAGAGCAAGGACAGAATCTCAGTCTTGTCCGCAAGCTTTCTCTGTAAAGGGCTAGACTGTAAATATTTTGGCTTTGCGGGTCATACATTCTTTGTTGGGACTACTCAACTTGAAAGTTTGGGCATGGGCATTTTAAGGATCTCTGTAGCTGTATTCCAATGCTATTTTATTTATAACAAACAAGAAATAGATTTAGCCCTGGGGCTACTGTTTACTGCTCTGACCTAGGCTAATATTGTGAGAATAGGGAATAAGCTGCAGCTCCGTGAGAAGCAGGATGGCTCAGAAGCTTATCTACTGCATAATAGATTCCAGGTTTAAGGCAGCAGACTATTCTATAGGTCCTGCGTGACTGGTGAAATCAGGCCTTGGAAAGCTTTGCCAAGTCTTTTCTACTTAGCACAGTGACTAACTATCAAGCTTCAGGTTGAGCCAAACAGGTATGTGATTTGGCACAAGCAGAAACTGTTTGAATCCTGTTGTATTTCCTCCATTTTACTTGGTAAATGGGCTTGGCAGTGTTTCTCAAAATGTGGTCTTCGGGCAGCCTACCTTATTATACTCAGTTGGGATTGTTAAATTCGGTACGCTTCCTGTACCACTGCTATTTAAAAATGAAGGCAAGGTTTTGGAAAGGGCATTTAAAAAAAATAATAATGTAGGAAAAAGAATCTTAAAAATAAACATTTTTGAAATCTAATACAGAGAAATTTATAAGTGCAGCTTAGTTGGTGAATATTCACAGTGTGGACTCATATAATCACATTCAAGCTAAGAAATAGAAAATATTGGAACCCTCATGCCATGGTTTAGATAATGGTTTATTCCCTAAGGGTCCATGTGTTGTAATTTGGTCCCTAACGTAATGATATTGGAAGGTGGGGAGACTTTGAAGAAGAAAATCCACCTTCATTGTAGGCAGGTACCTTGCCAGACAAGATTGACATTTGATGGAGTGGGCTGAGAGGGGAAGACCTACTTCAGTGTGGCCGTATACCATCCAGTGGACTGGGAGGGACAAATGGAGGGAATGAAAAAGTCTGTTTCCTTTTTCTCTTTCTCTTATGTGCATGGCTGCTGACCTAGTTGCTTCTCTCAGTCATGTGGTGACTTAACTCCAGAAGCCAGCCATAACGTTGTATTCAGGCTTTTGGACTTTCCAGTCTCTATTCATTACAATCCCCAGTCTTCTGTATTTCTGTTTAGCAACACAATAATGGGTTACTACATTCCAGAAAGCCCACTTTGTGCCCTTCCCTTCTTCCCACAGGTAACTACTAACTGCTGTCTGGACTTCTGACTCCTAGACTAATTTTATTGCTATCTGAACTTCATGTGAGTAAAATCAGATAGGATGTATTATTACTTTACATCTGTGTTCTTTGGCTAATATTTGAGAGTCCTTTCAGTTCCATTGCTGTGTAGAATTTTTCAGTTATAATATACCCTTATTTATCTATACATGAGTGTGTTTGTTTATTGTTGTTTTACTTTTAGGATATTACAAACACAACTTCTTTGAACCTTCCTATTTAAATCTTTGGGTGCCCGTTTATATTTTGGTTAGGTGTGTTCCCAAGAGTTAATTGCAAGATCACAGAGTATGAATATGTTTTTAGTAAATATTGCCAAACAATTTTCCAAAGTAATTGTACTAATTTCTGCTGTACTAGTAGTGTTGTGGGGTCTCTAGTTTTTCTGTACCATCCTCTTACAAATTTAAGGATCACCAGAGTAGAGGGATTACCTTTGTGTATGGCTCCTACTAGTTTGTTCTGAGACTCTATAGCCTGATTTCCTACCTTATAAGCATTTCAAGTTAACTCTTCTGAAAGTGAAGGTATTATGGCTTGTTAATTGCTTTGTTAAGGTCTCAGGGGGATAGTATAAGACTCCTTTGCATAAGCTCATTAATTTCTTTCCTGAAATTAAAAACGGGGTATATAGCAATGTCTAGCTCTAAGATAAAATAACTATTGGTCTTGGGGCCAGTAGATGGCATATTGGTTACATTACTGGACTCACACATGGCCCACTGCAGTTTGAGTTCTAGACCCAGTGGATTTAAAGTCACTCAGCACACATGTGCATCCTTTCCCAAGATCCCAGGAGGAGAATGAAGGAGAAGGGATTGTGGCATGGCTATCCCCATGAGGAGTGAATTCTCTTTCCC